TTTTCCTATGATTTGATTGGTTAAAATAGAAGTTGTCTTTCAGGAAAATTCGATATGCGTACCATTCCGTCGATCCCTGTATTGAAGTCGAATGGGTCGTTTCACAACGAGTGCAGCAAACAAAACCCCATCGAAATACGACGCGATGAACTCTTTCTATTCGTAAAGATGGTTCAGGGACTGCAAGTCTTGTTGGTTACTTCATGGCACGATGTTTAATACTGGCGGGCTGCTTGACGTCCGGCACATTCGGATAAAATGGGAATTATCCGAAATGCCGACGCGACCGGATTTTGTTGTTTCCATGCGCGACAGACTCATGTACTTTAGAAGCCGTTGTTGTAGGACACTATCATGCGGACGACATGGAACATGCACCAAACACATGTCCGTGCATGGACTGCCTCAGGGGATGCATCATGCGGGGCGTGTCATGGGCCATGTAACGCGACGGCATCGGTGATTTTCCCCTCGTTCGGATGATGCATTCGGACGCGACAACTACGGATTCGAGCTTGCGGAAGTAGTATGCTGGACGGCCTATTTTCCTGGGTATCCGATCCCGTGTAAAGTACGTTCGTATGTTGTCCGATATCCCACGGATTGTCGTCGCTTGGCAGGGCACTTCGCCTGCGTGCGACCTCCATCGTACCCGGTAACGCTGGATATTCCAGCATATGGCTAGTCGCCTCAACGATTCGACGTCTTCATGATGTCCACATCACGTACGTAGTGCTAACCGTCGTGCGATCGCCTTGCCCGCCTGCTTGCTCTCTTCGATACTCTAGTCAAATCACGTTGGTCGGGCCGAGCGCCGCTGCCAGGGACAACCCGTCAACACCAACGGCATGTGGTGGGCACGTTGAAGAATTCTAAAATATGCCATTTATGGACCCACATGCTGCTGACGCCTGACTCGGCCATGATACACGTGGGAACGAATTTGAACGTCGCATCGGCTGATGCGGCGACGAGGAAGGCGGGGCGATGGACGTCCCGTGGTTTTCATGGACGTCGCCGGTGCCAATGTGTGCTGACAGTTGACCTTGTCGCGTCGGGGGCCGCCATCAACGATATCCACTGTCGCTTCCTGTCACGTTCCATCCTCTGTTCGCAGCAGCAGGGAGGTCTCCAATTGTGTCGGAGTTGCAACATGTCAATGACGTCCGGCTACGATGACTGCCACCTGTGGCTGGCTTTCGTCTTGAAAATGGCCATCTCTACGCCGTGTCGATGGACGAACAGGATCCCCCCGTTGGCTCGCTCCAAGTGCGTTCCCAGCATGACCGGAGAGGGACGTCGATGCCGCGACGCTTGCCTGGTTTCCTCGACGTGGTGGGTTGCAGCGTGCGCGCCTCGTCCGCATGCTTGCCCAGTTGTCGGGCATCGCTCGGCGCGTGTCACTCGTTACTAAAACCAGGCATCGAGAACACTTTTCCTGATCGACAACCTCCTGGGGCACGCGACCTGCCCACAACATGGACACCGTGTGTGTCCCATGCTGGTGGCACCACAACTCGCTGTCGGCAGCTCGAGACAACAACGTCGCAGCCAGGACACCACGCGGGGTCGAGTCGTCCCGAGTAATCTTTCCCGACAGATGGATGTCGCGTCGTTCTCACGTGGATGCGAGTCCGAAATGAAATCGATAGACGCATCTATAGTTGGCCTAGCGCACCTGCCGGAAAATCGGCATTTCGACGCAGGATGAGGCGGTTCCCGTCGACCAGACGGCACGTTGCCTGAGATGGTGGGTGGTCCGGCTCCTCCTCGTTCCACGAGCTTGTACCTGCTGGTCGCCCATTACATTACGCAATTTCCCACAGCCCGACGCGACCGAGATGGCGGGGTCTCGCAAGGGAGATGGCCTGGACGTGGACCAGCTCCACCCGGCGTCGGCCACAGGTGGGTGGACGTACCAGGAAGCCGTGTCGCCGAATCCGTCGCTCCACGCCGACGAAGACATCTTCCTCAAGAGCGGCATCACGCCTGAAATGATCTTGCAAAGCCAGCGCAACGATGCGTCCATGCAGCACATCTACTCGACCGTGTTCACCAAAGAAAACATTCAAAAGCTCGGGTTCCGCAACCTGATCAAGCAAATCCGGTCCAAGATTGGCAAGACGACCCAAGTCCCGACGTGCGAGATCCGCATGAAGAACGTCGACTACATCGCGCCGATCTCGCACCACGACTCGCAGATCGAGACCCTGGCGTCGGCGTTCCGTCTGCCGTCGCTCGGCGGCAAGAAGGAAGAGGCCAAGTACATCCTCAAGAACGTCAACGCGATCTTCAAGCCCGGCACCATGACGCTCGTCGTCGGTCCCCCCAGCTGCGGCAAAACATCGCTGCTCAAGCTCCTCGCGGGCATCCTCCACGTCCAAGGCAAGGAGAAGCTCAAGGGGTCCATCACGTACAACGGATGCAAAGCCAACCAGATCGACCTCAGCTCCCTCGCCGCGTACGTGCAACAGAGCGACAACCACTACCCGACGCTGACGGTCAAAGAGACATTCGAGTTCTCGCACAAGTGCCTCGTGGGCAAGATCGACCCGAACGATCCCCTCGCCGTGAACGAGCAGCACATGGTGGACATTCTGATCTCGGTGTTTGGCCTGTCCGAGTGCGCCGACACGATCATCGGGGACGACATGATCCGAGGGGTGAGCGGGGGCCAGAAGCGGCGCGTGACGGTGGGCGAGATGATGACGGGTCGTGCGACAACGCTGCTCCTTGACGAGTTCTCAAACGGGCTCGACGCGTCGACGACGTACGACATTGCCAAGGCGGTGCGGACGATGGCCGACGTGTTGGAGAAGACAGTCGTCATGACGATGCTGCAGCCACCGCCCGAGGTGTACAACATGTTTGACA